TGAAGCTCATTCTGTAAATACAAGTCCATGGGCCTAGAAAGGCCCATCAACTGTCTTGGCTGGCTGATTGCATTGCAAGGCTGCTCTCCACTGTCTCCAAAAGATAATGGGAATTGTGGGAGGTCCCAATGACTGGAAAAAGGCCATCTTTAAGGAGAGCAATGAGGAACCAGGCCACCACGTGCCACTCAGCCTTGCCTCTGGTCCTAGGAAGGCTCTGAAGAAAGCCTTCTGAGATGTCATTTCTGAGCACATAAAGGACAAAAAAGTGACTGAAAACACCCAGTGTGGATTCATTGGATAAACTGGGTCTAACTAACCTAAATGCCTCAAAGGATGAGTAATACATGATGTTTCATTTTAGCAAAGCCATCAAGAGTGTCCTGTAATATCACTATAGCAACATTGGTGAGACACAGGCTAAGTAAGCGGATAAAGGGGATGGAAAATCAGTTGTATTCTCATACAAATTGTGTTCTGATCAGTAATACTAAGTCCAGCTGGCGGCCAGTTACTATGGTTATGCCTCAGATATCAAAATTGTGTCTAGCTACTCTTCAATATCATTTAATTCTCTTCCACATCCTTATTAACAATCAGCAGAATGGGACAGGGTGCACATTCTGCAGAGTCATGGATGATGATACATGAGGGAGCACCCTATATGCTGGAGGGCAAGGGTGATCTTCAGAGGGACCTCAAATGACTGAAGGAAAGAGACAACTGAATGTTCTTGAAACTGAACGAAGGCAAATTCAAAGTCACTGGACAGTGTGTTTGACTTCTGAATACCTACAAGAATGGAGATTCCACAGCTCCCTGGTGAAATCTGTGCCACTCTCACAGTTCAGAAGTGGTTCTTGATGTTCATACAGAGCCTCCAGTTTAAGCCCACTGCCTCTAGTCACTGGGCACTACCTAAACGAAGCTGGCTCCATCCTCTCTGCATCCTACCTTCAAGTATTGCCCTGCCTTGATGAGATCCCCCTGAACCCTCTCTTCTCTAGGCTGAACTTCCAGCATTCTCAGCCTCTCCTCATACAATGGACGTTTCAGTCATTCCAGCCCCTTAATCCTTTTAGTGGCCTTGGGATTTTTGGTTACCCTAGCACAAGAACAACAGCATCTACAGAAGAAAGTACAATGGAGACCCACAAATAGTCACAAGGCTGAAGCTCCCCAGAGTATGAGGAGTGACTCAAAGAAAAGGATTTGTTTAGCTGTAAGAGAGCTCTGCTGTCTTCAGCTATCTAATGGGAGACACCATGATCCTCCACCCTTGGAGAGCTGCCAGAGCCCTGAGCAACCAGATCTAGTTGGAAGACTGGACTAAGTGGCACTGAGCAATCCCTTCTAACCTGATACAGGAAAAGTGTATCAAACAGTGTTTTCCATTTTTCTGCATATCTATCAGACTGTGTTTTACCACTTAGTAATAGAAGTACCAGTTTAAGTGGCATTTAAGTTTTTTTTCTGCTACATAAACACAAGTTTTTTTTCTGCTACAGTCTCTCCGAATTATGGGATGATAGGAACAGAACAGAGCATCTATCACACTAAAAACATGTCAAGGGTATTAACCACTATGAAAGAGATTGCTATAAGCACACATACCCTTTTATGGATAAAGAGAAGAAGAAAATGTTTGCAAGAACACTTGCCTGATTTGTTACCCCATTATGGAAAAACTGATCTAACAATACTGCAAAGATTGGCTATATAAACACATAGATAACCATGTGAAAGAATTGTAGACACTGCAACAGTTAATTGGCCCTGCATAAGCTACATATGCATTTGTTTTACATAAATTACACCACTCTTATCATGACACAAGTAGGGTTCTCTCCTTTCTTACAGATGCTGAACCATGTAGAAAGTATGTACTTCCATTAAGGAGTTTCCATTTCTCTCTCAGGAAAGAAGTGCTGGACAAAGACAAATATGTCAGCTAAATAATTGCCTGGACTTTTGCAAGTATAATTCAGTGAATCTCACCTCTGAAAGTGATACATACAGGCAGATATAACTGCACAGAAGAACACAACACCTAACTCTCCATTTATTGTTATGAAATACTGATACTACAGCAACATCATACACTGCTCAATGTGCATTTAAATGTATAGATAGAGCCGGCTGATTTTCACTTGCAGAGAGAACATGTGAATACAGTGTACTGAGGAATTAGCTACAACAGTTTTCACACAGTTCAAGCAGGGAAACTCCAAAAAAACAGATTTGAAATTATTTGGTAGGTAAACTGATATGCACAAAGGAAGAAATTGCTGTAATCAACACAAAGTCCTGGAACCACCTGCCCACAGGAAGCCAAAGAGGCACATCCTACATATATGAAGTCCAGTGGGGTTTGATTGCTTGACAAAGCATGCACACAATGGTAAATGCATGTCTAGACTAGTATCATATGTCAAAAAACCACAAATACTTTACTCAGATGTTTATTCTGAAAAGATTGAAGATATTTGCAGCAGAGTTTTGTCGGCCACAGACTTCTATGGATGATAGGAGCAGATATCTATAAAACATCTGCTAGATTTTCATCCTGTGGAGCTGAACAGGCATGTTATATTAACTGCTGGCCTGGGAGTCATGCTTTATTCCTGAAGAATTGGATGCAGCCAGTGACATTTCATTACACACAAACCATGGTATCAGGAAAATGTTTAGTTAAAATTTTAATTATTTACAGTAAGCACAACCAATCTAAATTACCTAATTTCAACCTAAATAGGTGAACTGTTCATGCAAGTCTTAAGAAAAAAGCACTTTTGGCACTAAAATTCTCCTATTTTTCATACACTTTAGTGTTTGCATTACATACATACATACATATATATATATATACACACCACTGACATATGAAATACCAAAAAAACTGGTGACTACTTAAAAGAATCTTTAATCCATGGGCTGTATGAGCCACTAACAAAGATGGTGTATGAACTGGTTTTTTTATTACTTTACAATGATCCTCAAGATTTTTATCTCTTTGAAAAGCAAAAATAACTATAAAAGTATAGATTCATACAGTGATATTTCATCAGCCTGAATATAGGAATGTTGTAGTATCTTCATTTTTCTTTGTTCTTACTTCAGGGGAACTTGGCATGACTCATGGAGTAATGTTGTATACAACAGCTTCCTATGACAGTGTAAATCAAATAACTTCAAATGAAGTTCTTATATTGTAACCAACTAAACATACTGATATATCAAATTACAGAAATTTTATTAGTTTTAAAGCGGAATTCTGAAACTAAGGTTGAATAAAATTTCTATTAAGCCAGTTAGTTTGGTGAGAAAGTTCAAAGCTGACACTTCCAGAAACATTTTTTACAAGTTGAGATGAAAACATTTGTTATGTGCAGTGGACAGAAAAATTGTATAAACCAATGAAAATATTCCTCTTTTCAGATTTAGCTCCAGATAACTAGTTACCATTCCTGGCAGCTGCATAAATCAGATACCAGCCCTTAAACTTACCAGTCCAGCACCAGTTATTTTATTCTGGAGTCAAGAAAGATTAATTTTATTTAATGTAAATTTCTCATCTGGGCATTGCCACAGTCAATATATGCTGGGATAGACTACATTGAGCATGCTGCTTGTTTCACTCCATTTTGCATTCTGCCTACATACATGTGTTCACTTTCAGTCACCGGTCCTCTCACCAGTGCCTAAAAACTTACTTTGAAAAAAAAACCAACCAACCAAACCAAAAAAAGAAAATCAGAAATATTAGATGGAACAAACATATGGTTACCATTTAGCCATGAAACAATACCTTATTTAAGGTCAGTTCCCTCATAATTATCATAGGAATAGATATGTCTCTGTGGAAAGATGGTATTTCTGATCACACTATTTTTTTCTTGGCCCTTCAAAGTCCTCCAACTTCAAATCTTAACCATAAAGATATATTTTAAGGTAGCCTTTAAAGCTTTTAAGAATACATTACTTCTAATTCTAATCCTCTAGCCAGTTTTATTGTAGGTGAATTTATGCTTTTTCAGGTTGGGGTATAAAAAGATTACTACTTCTCAATCATGCATTAAAATTTTATTGTGCTTGGATAACAAGAACTACAGCAATGGGAAAGTTCCTCTTCCAAAGTAGGAAAACAAATGTGGCATCTTTCATCTCAACAACTGTGTTTCCAATGTATTTTGAATATTAAACTTCCTACTTGAATTAATAAAAAGAAAAAAATCAGAAAAAAAACCATTGTGATTGTTCATTTTGTTTCTGCTATATTTTCAGTGTGAGGGCAAGTGTGTGATGAATTGTCTTCCTAAGAATCACTAGTTCATTTTTCTTCTTAATTCCTGCCACTTATAATTCCCCAAACACAGTGAAAATAACCATACTGACTAAGTTTCAGAAGGCATAAATAAAAAGCAATACATAAGTCAAAAATCTGATTTAGCTTTTAGTATTTGCAATGTCATATGACTAGGAAAAGATCTACGGTGCTTCTGCAGGAAGGACAGTTAATAAATTGCCTTTATAAGCTTAACCATGTTTCAAAAGAATAACCCAAAGGAACAGAAAATAAGCATACCATTATACAGAATGGTTTAATGGTTTTCTAAAATTCCACTATTTAAAGTACACCCCAGTTAAGCAAACATGTCACTAGTTAGTCTTTGCTCAGAATTAAAGAAAATTTTCAGAGCCAGGATGCCATTCCCTGAACCATGGGGGCTTCAAAAACGAGGAAAGAAACATGGAATCTTTGCAGGAGAAAATCATACCTCTACTTTTTCCTGAATATTAGACATGATATGATGTACTGAAAAGAAAAAGATAAAAAGTGAAAAAATAGTCAATAAGGAAGAGACTTAGCTAAAAGGTCTGGATTCGTAACCCATGGTCATTTGAAACATGAATAAATGCTAGATGGGTTTCTGAGTAACCTGGAAAATGAATGAAAAAGGCTAGAAAAAAGTTCTTTTTGCAAAACTTACTCAGACAGATTTCAGAAAAAACATTTTACTAATGAAGCATGTTCAAAATACAGCAGTTACAAATAATTTAAACAGAAACTTTCTAATTTATTCAAGATGTAAACAATTCTTTTGAGTCCACATTCAGAAAGCATCAACAATTTAGGACACAAATTTAAGAGAAGGTAAGCTGAGAACAGGCCCGTTTGATGCCAAGGTTTCTCCAGGACCAAATCAGTTGAAGCAAAGTAACATGAAAGCAGACAGCAGAGCCTCACCACAAAGTACCACTCATGCTACCAGCTCATGTTGACATGGCCACTAAAACAAAGCTCCCACAAAAGCTATCTATATTTTGCCTTTTGGTAAGAGAAAGAAGCAGGTCTTGTAGACAGCTTTAGTCCAGAAATGTATTCTAAGCATGTGTAGTTGCATACAACTTCATGTACTAACAGCTTACAACATATTTATTAAATTTGCAACACGGCAGTGTCTGGTCATTACCTTCTTTCCCTCATCATCCTCGGATATCTTATATACCCTAAATATTTAGGCATTTCCTCCTGCTCTTAGGCATTTATTTACTCGATTGGTGACATCTCAGAAAAACAGAGAATGCCAACGGGAAAGGCAAGTCATTGAAAGGACAGGCACCCATTGTTTCGTTTTCCGAATGCTTTCCAACACCTTCCTTTTGTTCTCAATTTGTGTGTTGTTGAGCGAGAAGAATCTTTGAAACAGGAATTTCTGAAGAACATCTGGATCATTCTGACGAGTCCCTCATGGAGCTGGAGCCATGTTCAATTGCACCCTCACTGGCAGCGTTGTCGGGAACCTACTGGGCAGAACGGTGCGGAGAAAGAATGAAAATTCATTCCCTTATGTACTACAGGAGGCTTAGTCCTCTGATTGCCTTTGCTCAGCACAAAGAAAAGTCCTCAATCCGTGGTAAACCGTAACTATTGCTTTTGGCAGGTTTCTAAACACAAGGGGAAAAAAAAAAAAAAAAAGCGATGGGGTGGACAGACGATGTCTAGTTTACTTCTGTTCCCTTCCCCCTCCCCGATGAGCAGCTCTATCTGCAACCCATGTGGCTGGGAGGCAGCCACAGCCGGTTCCAATTCCTACTTTCCCACTCTGCGCCCCTGCTCGCTGCCGGGGCTGAGCCCAGCCAGGACCGGCCGCGGGCTTCCTCCCCCCGCCGCGCCGTCCTCCCTCTCCCCCGCTCCATCCGATCCTCCGGTCCCCCAGGGCACAGTGTGGGAAGTACGAATTTCCGCTGAGTTTTCTCGGCAACTTTCGGAGCTCGTCTTTCTCCCGC